TAAATTCTAGATATAAGTCCCTTATCTGACATGTCATTACCAAATACTTTTTCCCAGTCTATGGCTTCCCTTTTTACCCTGTTGGAGAAGTTTTTGGATGTGCGTAGGGATTTGATTCTGAGAAGGTCCCATTCATTTATTTTATCTTCTCCTGGTTGTAGATTTTTCAGGATACTTTAAAGACTGTTTATGTTGTGGATACTATTTACTATATTCTTAAGTTGAACATACTGAGAAGCCTTTTTCCTGACACAAGAAAAAATAAAACTGTTGAAGATACAAAAAGAAAGCACAAATTTACACTCATTAGACAGGAACAGGAACCTCTGGTACCTATTCAATAGGAAGTTGCACTCCCAACACAGAGATGGTTAGTTCAAATCCACCAGCTGCTCCACAGGAAAAAAGATGGACAGTCTTCTCCTGTGCAATTTACAGCCTCTAAAAGCATGCTGGAGGTTCAACTTTGAGTTGGTTCCAACTTGACAATAATGAGTTTGAGGTTTGGGGTTAGAGGTTGGTTTTGCTTTGTTTATTTTGGGGGGCGTGGTTGGTGGGGTTTTTTGAAACACAGGAAGTAGGAATAGGAGCTAAACGTACCTTAGTGATTTCAATAAACAGTTATTAAAATAGGTTCACTTTATAACATGATAGATGTAAAATCAAACACTGCTTTGAGTGCAATTTACTGTTAACCAAGACTGAAGATCTCAAAGGATTAAATGATTATTTTGACATTTTCCTTTGGCAAGATGATTAGCTCTCCGTAGGCCATTAAATGCTTTTTTCTTTTTTTTTTAAATTTTTTTATTTTTTATTTTACAGAGGTTTTGGATTTCCATTCATTCATTGCCGCAATTTTCTCCCTGCCCACCCCTCCCCATCAGCTCGCTTCCCCCTCCGAAGAGAGAAAAAAAAATTCCTTCATTAGTATACAATTCCCACGTCCCTTCCCCCATCCCCCACCCCGAGTGCACTTCTCTATGCAACCTTAATTCTGGATTCTTGTGCTAACCATAGTACTCAATCATATATCACTTCTAATCTGTTCTTTCCCTCATCTGTTTCAATACAATATTTTCCTTTAAAACCTTTAAGGATAGTGCGGAGCTCTGGAAGCTTATTAGTAAGGAGTTGGGCTGCCAGTCCAAAGGCAGGCAGTTTGTCCTCCAGCTCTTCCTCTGCAAAAAGATGGACGATCTCCTCCCATGCATTTTACAGCCTCTGAAACTGCTGGGGGCTCAGCTATGTGTTGGTTCTGACTCGATGGCACACAGCAACAGCAACAATAAGGACAGTGTAGGGGTTCTGGGGGTGTGCTGCTACCCCAGAGGCTGTGTGTCTCCAGAAATTTGTATCCGCCAATGCCCCCCCGGGGAGAAAATGAGCTGTCTTTTACATTTACAGCTTCAGAAACCCCAAGAGGATTAGTCGAGTCAGAGTGCACTTTGCGATAGTGAGTTGAATTTTGAAGGATAATAGCGTGGCAGATGCTGTGTTAGGCTCCTCACTTCAAATCCACCAGGTGTCCTGTGGGAGAAAGAAGGGTAGTCGGTTACATTATGGTTTGCAGCCTTGGATGGAGGGTCACCACGGGTCAAAACTATTCTGAACAGTGCTTTAGGAGCTTGGCTGCTAAAGAAAACATCAGTGATCCAAATCAAATCTGACAGAAAAAGCTGAGACAATCTGTTTCCTGAAGGATTATAGCCTTGGAAACCCTCCAAGACAGGTCTCCTCTATACTGTAGAGTTGCCCTAAACAAAGTCTGTTAGAAAGCAGTGGGGGGTTGGTTTGTTAAGGATCAGATTTGAATGGTACATCCACTGTACTCACTGAAGCAAGATTCCCAAAGTTTTAACTTGACCACAGTAACATTAATGACAAAATTGTTTAAAAACATAGGTTCATCAGCTAATGTAATTCATATAGTCAGTTAACAAGTCCATTCTGCCTCATGGCAACCCATTTGCATCAGGGTAGAACTGTGCTTGGGAGCATTTTTAATGGCTAGGTTTTTCAGAAATAGATCACCAGGCATTTCTTTCAAGGCATTCCTATGTGCACTGAAATATCTGAACTTTCAGTTAGCACCCAGGCTTGTAAATTTGTGTACCTACTACTGGTTAGTCTGGTATGCGGGTGATAAGGAGTCATGCTATCAGCCCAGTGGCACAAGGTTTGAACCCATCAGCTGCCCCACAGGCAGGGATGGGCAGTCTCCTCCCATGCAGTTTACAGCCTCTGAAAACCTGCTACAGGGTCAGCTAAGAGTCATTTCTGACTCGGCAGCACACAACAACAACTCCTGCATTACTTTCAACTCATCACAAACTTATCAACAGTAGAACTGTCCTTTAGGGTTTTCACAGCTGTAAATCTGTATAGGAACAGAGTGTCTCATTTTTCTTCTGTGGAGCAGCTGGTGGGGTCTGAACAACAGGCCTTGATGTTAGCAACTAAACATTTTAACCACGACACCACCAGAGGCCCTGCAGGATTGGTGTTCAGTGCCATTGAATTGTCTCCCAGGGAGCAACTGGTGGATTCAAACTACCTGCCTTTACGTTAGCAGCACAACTCCTTACCCATTAGGATAAAAGGCATTTCCTCCTGTGTGATTTACAGACTCTGAAAATTGGCCAGAAGTCAGCTGTGAGTCAGTTCCAACTCAATGGCAGTGAGCTGAGTTGTTGAGTTTGAGCAAACAAGAAACAGGAGATGTGAGCTTCCCAAATCTGTCTCCCATCTTGGAGACTGTGGGAATCTCTATAGGGCAAGGGCGAGAGAGTGGAGTGTGACAAGTTTGCACAATACCATCTATGTCTAGGGGCCCCGATCAGTAGCCATGCGCCAGACTATTTGGAGACAAGTGGTGCTATTCACAAGCTGTGACCCAACAGACTGACTCCCAGCTACAGATTACAGAAACAAGCAGGAAAAGATAACAAAGAGTTTTAGTTGAATAATTCTCCTGAACTAAGAGAACGTGCTTTATTTCTTCAAGATGATATAAAAATGTTACTCTCACATTAGTACAGGACTATTTTGTATTCATTAGTAAGAAAAGAAAATCTTTTTTGCCAGATGGTAGTACAGAGTGTTAATTTCAAACTGTTACAGGATATTTAAGGGGAAAAAGTCATTTCATACTACACAAATTATTATAAGGTGTTAGCTTCCTTTTCCTATATCGTCTTTTTCAAGTGTGTATCTGAAGAGCTCCGTCACTTTAAACGTTTGTAATTTTTAACTATCTAAATGGTAGGAAACTCAGGTGGACTAGTGATAAAGAATTGTGCTGCCAACCTGAAGGTGCCTGGTTTGAATTTATCAGCTTGTCTGTGGGGAAAGGGTGAACGTTCTCTTCTAGTGTGATTTATAGCTTCTGAAAACCCACTGGAGGGTCAGCTACAAGTTGGTTCCAACTCCGTGTTACATAACAATAACACAGTGGTTAAGCTTTAACTCAAAGAGAAAAAGACCAAAAGTTATTCTTTCCTTTTCTTATGAATTAATTTTGTTCACTGAGTAAGTCTTTGTTGAATGACTAATGAATCAAATGTTCATCGTTAGTTTATAGACATGATCCAGACTTTTAGTTTGTGGCCTCAAGGATCTTGCAAGCCAAAATATAAATCTTTCTATAAAAGTTAATACAGAAAAAAGTAAATTTTGGTAATTAATCTTAAAAGATAATTAATTTTTTTAAAAAATTCTTTCTAGGGAACTCTGGTGGCCTAGTGGTAATAAGAAGCTTTACTACAAACCCAGGGACATACAGTTTGAATCCACCAGCTGCTCTGCAGGAGAAGGATGGGCAATCTCCTCCCATGCAATTTACTGCCTCTGAAAACCCCCTAAAGAGTCAGCAGTTAGTCGGGTCCAACTCAACAGCACAGAACAGCAACAATATATAACCAGTCTATCCAGTAATTGTTAAGGTGAAATAACAGTGAAGTAGTAATTTCTTATATATGAATATATTTTTCTTCCAGATCCAACACTATTCAAAGTAGTAATCAAATCTCTTTCACCTAAAGAATTAGCCCGGATTCATGTATCTAAACCTTTGGACAGAAATGATGGAACATTTTTGATGCGATATAGAATGTATGAAAGTGTCAATGAAGGGCTGAAGATAGAAGTTCTTTATGGAAGTGAACATGTAGCTCAATCTCCCTATATTTTGAAAGGTAAGTGATTGTTACATCATCTGCAATTCTGTCTATTTAATGGAAATTGCTCTGTCACAGTCCCAAAGAGACATTACTAAGATATAGAGGATAAACTTTTTTAACCTCACAAGTAGTTAGTCCCTTCCCAGGGGCTTTGAACTACTATTTGCAAAGTTTCTCCACTGGGGAAGAAAACCCACAAGTTTTGATCTGCCGTTTTCTCTATCCTCGCATGTAGAACTTCACACAGTTGAACTTGTAGCTGTTACAAAGCAATAGAAGAACAAGAGATGAGGCACCTCCATCAGCATTCTGTCCCTCCCAGGGTGGTCTATTTCCTGGATGTCCCCTGGCTTGCATGAGTTTTTAGAAGTTTATCTTCCGGAGTTTCATTTATTTTGTGTTGCTGTTTCAGATGAGTGGGATCAGTCTGATTGATGTTACTTGCCTTGGCCTAAGTGGAAATCTTTAAGAAAATTAAATAACTTCTAAACATTATATAAAAATAGAAATATTTGGGGCAAGATATAAAATTTGCATAAGTTCTTTTTAAAATCAGTATTTAGGAAATCTAAAATTACACTTCCAGACAGAACCTTTTTCTTTACATATTTTCTTTTGGATACATGATGATGTAGGTGATTTTAGGGGCTCAGGAGAAAAAAACCTTCACTTTTCCCCAAAAATGCATTATAGAATAATGCCTGAAAATTAATGTTTCTGTTTGTTTCCTTTGTTAAAAGTATAATCACGTAGTAATTCCTGTGAATACACAATACTTGATTGCTCAGTAATTTAATAAGAAATTTGCAATTCAGAGAAAACTTCCACGTACAAGATGAAGCTGCTTCTAGACAGTGAAAATTCAGATAGTTTTGTTATAAAAATACATGTTTCCATGGTGATGAAGTACTGGGGCTCCTAAATTAGCAGTAAAAGGTAACTTCAGGGAAGATCCACCCTTCCACCCACCTGCAGTTGAGACTTCCAGAACTTCATATTAAATAAAGGCTGAGTTATTCTCATATCACCACAGATTCAGGATTTTGTTATATCTGTCCTTTGAAATGACCATTTTCAGTGAGAGAAGGACAGGAAAGCCAACAATAGATTAGTTTTGGATCAGGAATTTTTACATTTGCGGACAAAAGAAAAACCTTCTTCAAAATAAAACCAAAACTATCTATGTTTATATATATTTTATTTCACAAAGGTAATTGAGTTTTATGTTCATCAGCAATTTATACTTCACTCGAAATGAATTACTGAATATCCCATGGACTACAAAAAGAACAAACAGATATGCCTTGAAAAAGTTGAAACCAGAGTGCTCCTTGGCAGCAACGCCGACAAAGCTTCATCTCTCATATTTTGGGCAGGGTGCTGAGAGAGCTATTTCTTGGAGAGGGACAGCATGCTTGGAAAGGTGGAAGGTCAATGAAAGAGAGGAAGACCCCCAATGAGGTGATTGACATGGTGACTGCAACACTGAACTCAGTGTATGGTGAGGATGGCACAGGATAGGACAGGATTCAGGTCTGTTGTTCAGAGAGTCATTATGAGCCCTACTTGACAGCACCTAACAACAGCAACAAGAAATTAATTATGATCCTGTTCTTTGAGTGTAAGACAGCTTACACTATAGTAGATTGTCCAGGATAATGGGAAAGACATGTCTGAAGAAATGGGAAGTTAGAAGCATAGAACTCTAGATAATAAATAATAATCTGTATTAATTGTCAAACACAGGTCATTCCACCTGCATAACCTTATACGGTCCCAAGAAGTCACACAGTGGTGACATCTGGAACACGACTAACCCCCTGTGTGTGGTGCTTGTCGAAGGAGCATGGCATTGTGTGTGTTCTGCTTCTCCTAGGACCAGTGTACCATGAGTACTGTGAGTGCCCAGAAGAGGATCCCCAAGCCTGGCTGAAAACGCTTTCATGTCCAAGCAAGGAACCACAGATCGAGAAGGATTTTTCTTCCTTCCCCACCATCAATCTCCAGCAGATGCTAAATGAAATTCCAACAAGGTTTGGAAACGAGAGAGGTGCCATTGTTCATTACACGATTCTCAGTAACCGAATCTACCGGAGACCTCTAGGGAAGTATACAGACTTCAAAATGTTCTCTGATGAAATTTTGCTGTCGTTGGCCAGGAAGGTAAGTGAACATATTAATTAATTCCAAAAATAACACAGTTTAAGTCTTTCACTCTCATAATTAAATGCTGAAAAATATGTAAAATAATATTTGCAAAGGATGAAAATGAATTTCCATCTTAGAAATATGCATCTAAAGACGTCCATTATTAGAAAGTCCATAGGTCTTTTGCCTTTTTTTTTAATTTTTTTATTTTATTTTATTATTTTTTGTGCATTGTACTGTCAAATCAGATCTGACTGGTACAGGAGGAGATTGTCCCTCCTTCTCCAGCAGAACATCTGGTGGATTCGAACCAGGCACATCTGAGATTGCAGTGCAGCTTCTTGCCACTAGGCCACCAGAGCTCCCTGGTCTTTTGCTTTTATTGATCTACATTTTAATACTTAAATTAAGTGACTAGAGTGTAGCACATTTTGTTAAGGTTATAGTAACAGAGGGGTGATTTTCATACCACTCTGTCATAAAAAGAAAACAAACAAAAAAAACCCACAGCAGCAAAACCCAACAACAAGGCAACTATCCAAAGAAAACTCAGCATTTACAAATAACCTGCTGGAAGGTCAGCAAGGAGTCAGTTCTGACATGACAGCAGTGAGTTTGAGTTAGAGTCATTGTCAGAACACCTAAGAAAAAAGCTATTGTAGCAATTTAGGCAAGAGATGGTAGGGGCCCCCTACTAAGGCATTGCTCTTGGAAATGGAGATGTAAATTGAGTGGCAGATTCCAGGAACCAGAAGATGGTGTGAAGAAGCTTACATTGAGGGAAAACAAAGAATCAATCATATCTGACTCTCGATTCTGACTTAGCTGCTACAGAATGCTCTTGAACCACTCATTCACCTCTCTGTTCAATTTCAGCCTCTATATAGAACTTGAAATGCTACCTCTGAAGAGAGGTTGCTGATTCCTGCTTATGTGAATTTGCCACGTATCATATTCACCTATGATTTTATTGTTATTGTTGATGAATCACCAAGAGGCATTCTTCTGTTTTCTAATGTTTTCAGATGTTCAAGTGTATCAGAAACCCAAAGGATTGCAGTATTTTTTTTTAACCAAAGCCTGAGATCTTGTCAAAACTGATGGTCATACTTTTGTTTGTTTAGGTCCTTCTCCCTGATTTAGAATTTTATATTAACCTTGGAGATTGGCCTTTGGAGCATCGAAAAGTCAATGAAACCCCTGGCCCTCTACCCATCATTTCATGGTGTGGCTCTCTGGATTCAAGAGATATTATCCTTCCAACGTATGATATTACCCATTCCACACTTGAAGCAATGAGGGGTGTTACTAATGATCTTCTCTCCATTCAAGGGAATACAGGTAAATTAAGGTTTAGTCTTGTAAGAAATCAGAAAAAGATGCAGAAAATATAAAGTGTGAGAAAGTAAATGTATATCTTTCTAGAACCATTTATATTTCTAACACATAAACAAAAAGCACCCTAGCACTTTCAACTCTGAAGCAGTTTGCTTATAATTCTTCTAGATTAAAAACTAAAAATACATGAGTTGACTATTGTGCTGAGTGAAATAAGTCAGTCACAAAGGACTTGTATAAGATCACTGTTACTTTAAAAAAAAACCTGAGAAAGTTTGCATAGGGAGAAAATCAATCTAGTATAGCCATGGAGTAAGGGGAAGAGTAAAAAAATTATTGGATATACAAAGAACAAACACTTAACTGGAATAGATGAAGAGAAGGACATTGTGGAATGAATGGATGACCAAATATTGTGGACATCATAATGAATGACTTGGGGGAAAAAATAGGCATAATTGGTAACTAAAAAAAGAGGGAAAGCTAAGGAACGGTTTACATAGATAGAGTCAATCTTGACGGGTTTACAGGGATAAGAAGGGAGGTAGAGGAAAGCAATGATTAATAGATTGAAGGAAGGGAGAGGGAATGTACAATGGGGGTTTGATGAAACATTGTAATAAATTGTCTTAACCAGTGTGGTTAATAATATTGAACAAAATGTATATGAATGACTAAATGAAAGCAAATATAAAATAAAAAAGATTCACTAATCGAGCTAAAATGTCCATTTCCATTCTCCATAAGAAACAGTCTCTTTTGAGGGTCTTTAATACTTAGAAAATTTGCAGATGTCCAGACCTGTTCTGGTTAGTGTTGCCACCATGGCATTTAACATGTTGTAATTCTTGAAAACACTTACATAGAGAAATGGGTTTAAGATTGTGTTTTTGCACCTTAACTCCACATTGCATTTCTATTTATTTATATTCTTTCCATGTACATATTTGTCTGGCTGATGTCACCCCCTTTTCATGTCTCTCATTACCTTACAAAGAGAAACCAATGGGCTGATTACTGCAAGTTCTCAGCCTTAATGGACCTCATGTTACTCATTTGCATTTACTTGAGTATTATACACCTCTTGCACAAACCATGATTTTTCCTGTGAACCATTCCAGCACAAGCTGTGGATATGTATTAAAAATAGATGCATTTTTTCTATAATCCATAATGCTGTGCCTGTTTTAAATAATGCCGCAGTAGGCAAAAGGAAAAAGAAAAGCAGACTCTGTTGAGTTAATCATTTGTAAATACCACCTGAAAATATAGGTTTAGCAAAATTGCCAGTTATATTAATTATTTATTATATTAATTACTGACTATACTAATTCTGACTCTTAGGGTCTTAACAGTGCTGGATGCAATGAAAGAGAATCAATATGCAAGAAAAAGAAAATTCTGATAATCTGTATAATTAGAATATTTATAACCCCAACATGTTATAACAAATTTTCCTCTTTCTACTTTTCCTTCACCCTTTAAAATCTTTATCCAGTTTGATGGCCTTAGATTTATGGTACAACCTCTTCCCCCTCCTGTATTTCTTTTAAACTCCTGATTAGCAAAAACCTGCCTTGTGCTGGTAGACTGTATTTGTGCTTATTAGACTTCTTTGGTGGATGAGACCAAAAACTTTGCTATCTAGAGATACTATGAAATGAAAATTGACTAATTTTTTTTTATTTAACAGCAGAGAATTACCATAAAGTATGCTAAAATAATAAAGATATTGACCTGTCCATTGTTTAATATCAACGTCTTACTTTAGAATAACAATTAAATTCACATTCATTCTTCAGAAAAATTTCTTTACAAAGAAAGCGGAGTGAGATAGATAGATGATAGATAGATAGATAGATAGATAGATAGATAGATAGATAGATAGATGATAGATATCTGTGAGGTGATAGATATAGATAGATATAGATGAAATAAGTTATCCTCTTGTCAGCTGTGGCTTAGTGA